CGATCAAATGGTCTACAGAGAACTCATTTAAGGTCAAAGAAAAACGAGATTCATATCAACAAATGCTTGACGCTACTAGGATCATTTATATCGTCAACACTTCTTGTATAAATACAGTGAGGGAGATTAAACTTTGTCTTCGAATGAACGAAGAGGTAGGTCATTGATCAAGACCGAACAACAAAGAAAAAAGTCCAATTTCACATCCTGGTGTTACACGGTTGGTTGCCTCATGTTTAGCTTATTTTGTTATCTTTCTGCTATGTACTTAATATTTTCTGTTGATAACTTAGGAGCCATGGCTTACCGCGGTGATCTCATCGCTTGTGAAGTTGATTTTAGTGGAGTCCCCGAGGGAAAAGTCTCTGTGTTGTTCTCCTTGAACGGTAGAAAAGTAGCGCGTTCTTCAGTGGAGTATACAGAGGGAAATAAACTATTTCCCTTCGTTTCATTGGGATTTGAAGGCATTACAGTGCTCACCAAGGTATGTTCGAAAGAGGGAGGGGGGAACGGGGAGGGTAATGGGCTAGAAATTGAATCTATAAATGGTTTGGTTTCATCAGTAATCTGCCAACATATCATACCTCGGCACACTCCTCCAGCTACAATTAATCGAGGGGTTGTTCCTGTGACCAAATTGAAAGCATGCGGAGAGGGAGCTCTCTCTACGGCAGCTGTCAGGCTCTAGAATCAAAGGAAGAACTTTGTCGTATCCAGTGTTAAAAAGACCACAAAAATCTTGTTTAAGTCTGTGTAATTTTAATATTTCATTTACAACTTTCTACCAAAATTCAGTGCCCTGATTGCTCTTAATTAAGGTACGAACAGGGAAATAGCGTGTCGATCTAATTTTTAGAATTCTATATCAGGCATATCTGTATTCCATAATTGTGGACATTAGAGTTTATACCTCACACCTGTGACCATGGCTGCCCTAAATTTTCGTACTTTTCTTCTTCAAAGTTGAGACGTTTGATTTCCACACGTTTTAGATGTGCCATCGTGACAGAGACCGTTTTAGTAGAGTAACAAACGAAGACATTCAGGAGGAAATTGGAGATCTGCGACGTGATTTTCAGAATCAACTTACCGAGCAAAGGAGGATGTTGTCAGAAATGAGAGATTTAGTACTGCGTTTGAAGGAAGTAAAGGATAAAGATGAACAAGAAGAAGATACTAAGAGGCTGGCGGGTGACTTCAGTTAAATCCACAAGTTATATCTTACGCGCAGTTTGATGGATCGGATCAATGGATGGATGAAAATAAAGAAGATTTTCATTACCTTAGTAGTCGTTCAAGAACATTCATTTAGTTTAAACGCAATGTAAATCGTATGCAATAACTCTTTTTGATGAGTGAAAAAGATTCAAACTGTATTTCTATAGCTGTAATATTTCTTGTTGAATTAAAATTGTAGTCTGCTTACTTACAAAGATTGTAGGAGTTATGAAAACCATTCATTACCATCTATAAGTTACGTTTGCTTAATCATATAGCTCCTAGTCATTAACCATAGTCTCCCCTTCAACTGTTATATATGTTCCTGCAAATTATTTGGGAGAATGTAGAGTTAAATCAAGGTATCACTTTGCTTGTGAGTTAATCTGTTATCTGTTTGCTGAGGAACAAATAAATATTATAGAAAGAAAAGTATTTCTGCTAATCTTTTCACACTGCACTGTTTTCTTTCGTTAAGTGTCATCATTTTAAGATGACACAGAACGCATTCAGATCAGTTTGCAGAAATTACAAATATTCTACTCAACAACCATATATAGGTTTGTTTCGGAATTTATAATACTTGTACGCATTCAATCAATGCGTGTATGTAAATACTGTTGATAGGCGATAGATTAGTCGTTCAATCAAACTGCGTTGAAGCGTGCTCACTCGGGAAATATCCTATTAAGAGAAAGCCAAATTGTTCGGTATTTGTCTCGAGCGTAGGAAAAGCTCACGACGTAATAGGGGGCACTATAAGACAAGGGGGCACTATAAGACACAGCCAATCAAAATACGGTCAAATGAATTCAATATA